TTTGTACTTTTTACCGACACGCCGCATAAACGGCGGTTAACAAAACGCCGTTAAAGGCTTTTAACGGCGGTTTCTACAGCTTTTAACGGCGGAAAAAACCGCCGCTAAAAGCCCAATTTCTAGCGTAGTGTCTATGTAATATATTACTGATTTACAAAGATTTATCATAGTTTGATTAGCTCTGTCAATGTTTCTTGATCAGAGATTGTGGTAACGTTCTAAGCAAGAAGGCTGACCATACTCTCCTAGCGTGCTGAATTACAACGTGGCAGGGAAACGAGAATGAAGTATCCCTGTTTTTATATTGCATACGTACATGTCTGATGTGAAATTATAATTTTATCAACTAAAGACTAAATGAGGTTCAATTTGCGATTGTGAATGAAGGTTTGGTTTTTGGTAAGTTTTGCTCATGTTTTATATTTGTTGACTTGTATGAAGATAGGATTAAATTTGTAATGCTTTCTTTCAGCGAGTAAATAAATAAATAAACCTATTGTATAGACCTGTTGGTTATGTATACCAAAGAGGTTAGTGCTTGTTAATTTGATAATATGCTTTGGTCCTTTAAATAATGCTTGGAGACATTCCAAAACTTCAGGTGTCATTTTTTACTTACTTTTGTGTGATGGGAATTTCCTTCTTTGTTTTCTCTTAGGGTATGAGGCTCTAAACGGTAAACAAGTCAATTGAGTCGAATAATAAATTGTATTAAGTTAGATTTGAAAAATTACACAATTAAAAAATGTATTTTAGTATGGTTTATTTACTTTTTGAGTGATCTTAAACATGTTTAAAAAAAAAGTTGATCTCAAATTGAGTTTCCGGGTCTTCTTTTTTTTGGATATAATTATGGGTACTGTGTTTAAGTAGCTTGTTTTTTAAAAAAATAATGTAATTGTGCCGAACTTAGAAAAAAACTAGTTTCAAAAAATATAATTTTAAGTTTAGTTTTGTTCACGATAAACGAACGAGTTTTCCACATAGCTAAAAAAGGAGGTCGAGGTTCATCTAATATGAATTAATTTTTACCTTGGCCACAACTGTTTTCCAAAATTTTCTACCAGCTTCATTATCAAAACACCAAATAACGACTGTCATATGGTTATGAATTCAACCAACACCTGATGCAACACCAAAGCATAACTCAAAAGGAGTCGTTAAAAAAAAAAAATACTAACAAATTTAAAAGAAGAAGACAGAAATAAGCAATCCACTCATCCGAGAACAGCACAGGAGCTAATGGTGCAGAAAATCATGGTAAACTAACAAAACCCACTTTCCACAATCTTTCCTTAATTGGTAGATCTAGTATAAATCTAATCAAAACATCCTCCAAACCAAAAAACCCATCTCAATATTAGAAAATATTGGTACAATCTAGAATTCATCAAATGTCCTTGGCATTGCAATAAAAGTTAAAAATCACAACAGCCAAGAAACAAGGCATTTTTATCCAAACAGCAACAAGAAAGCAAACAATCAAACTGATCTTGATGCATGTAAAAGCATGCCATGGCCAATGGAAGCTTAGTGCATATTAGAGTACTTGGTATCAAAACTAAAAAAAGTTCTTTGAAAAACATCCAATTAACTGAATTGAAGCACTTCTAGAAGGGGATTTAGTTTTCAATAAGACGGGGGAAACCATAAAGCAAGTTTAACTGATTCTCACTGAAAATGATCCAAAATAAATATCCGTATCTCATTGAAGTTAACGAGGTCATGATTTGGGTTAAAAAGATTCCCATTTGTCTGCATGCTGTCTAAACCGCAGTCTTATATTTCCCGGAGGCATTTAATTCCGCCTCAATCTTTTTCAAAAGATTAGACTATTATGACCTTAAAACATTACCATTAGCTAAGTGGCTCGCATTTCTTTCCATCTTCAAGCCCAAATCAGGGGCCCTGGGAGCGACCATAACGATCATGGTGCTTGGGAGTTGCATTTCAACTGGGAATGGCACTTTAAGACAACACCGCATGGGAATCTCAATGATCCAAAGTAAGACGCTTAGTAACCAAAGTGCCAGCTCAATGAACAGTGCTTGCAAAAGGTACGAGCGAACTCAACTATAATTAACTTGGAATGTCACTGTGGAAACCATGACGGCTATGAACACCCAGCTGTTGAACATGCACGAAAGACGTTTGATCTTCTCTATGTCAAACGGCTGTTATTAATCTCATTAAACACCTGAAAAAAAAAAAAAAAAAAAGACGAAGAAAAACCGGTGTAGTCAGGGGATGTTATGCTCATTAATCAAACAGAATACTGAAAATTTTGTCACTTTTGCTTCATTTGTTAAAACATTTTCAGATAAGAAACAAGCTCCCTAAAACATTAATCAGGAAGTTGAAGGGCTAAATATAATAGAAGGACTAAATAGGACAAACTTGGGAAGTTGAGGGCTTATTGGAATGAAAATTTAGTTTAAAGACTTAATCGGGGAAAAAATGCAAAATTTGGGGGCTTCTAATATAATTTACTCAAAACATTAAGCTAAGCCCAATAATGTGCAAAACAATACCTGGCAAAACACAAAGGTGTTGAATATGAAAGTATTAAGAACATCAGTAGCATCTGAACTTTCAAGTCTCAAAAGATTCTTCCCATCAAAATTGAAAGTTCCAAGGACAGCCAATTGATAAATGCTCTGACCGATTATGTTTCTCCACATGGCATTGGTAATAAAACTCACTCCCCTCCCAACAGGAGGCCTATTCATAAGCCCATCACTTGGTGGTTCTGTAGCCAGTGCCAATGCACCTAGCGTGTCCATGATCAGGTTCACCCAAAGCAACTGCACGGCAGTTAGAGGAGCAGATCCTGGAATTTATCAGAAATAATCGTTATTGTCAATTTGGGTATTTTATAAGAAAGTGAAACAGAAAAGTGATGACCTACGAACCTGATATGCATGCAGAAACGAAGTTGATCACAAGAGCAACGACATTGACAGTCAACTGGAACTGCACAAACTTTTGAATGTTGATATATACTGCGCGTCCCCATTTGGCCACATTTACTATGGTTTTGAAATTGTCATCCAATATGATCACATCAGCGTTTTCTTTTGCGACCTGTAGATGTCATGTGTGAAAAGATTAGGAAAAGAAACACAATAAATTGGAGGAAAAAAAAATTAGAGGAGACGATTAAGCAGTGCAATGGATGTCATTTCTACAAGTTCAAAGTGTTTAGGCAGTATAGTATACATTATAGGAGATGATTAAGCAATTTCTTGATACATTTTAAAGAATGGAATATATTCAAACAAGAAAAACAACAAAATACTATATTAATAAGCAGAAAAACAGACCTCTGTTCCTGCTATTCCCATAGCAAGACCAATGTCTGCTTCATGCAAAGCAGGAGCATCATTAGTCCCATCACCAGTTACCGCAACAACTTCAAACATATTCCTTAAATGGGTTACCAGCTTGTGCTTGTCTAAAGGCAAGGACCGAGCCATTACCTGTATTCATAACCTTAAGCATATCAGAAAAGAAATGTAAGACTTAAGGACTAAAGAATTCAATGCCATCAATTCCCAAACCTGAATTCTGGGTATTATATGCTCCAATTCCTCAGGAGATTTGCTGCGAAAATCTGGTCCTTCTATGGCTAAACCACCTTCAGTGAGTATACCACATTCTCTAGCAATGGCTTTAGCTGTGTTGATGTTATCACCAGTGACCATGCGAACAGTAATTCCAGCTGCCAAACAAGTTCTAACTGCCTCCTTGACACCTGGGCGAACTGGATCCTTAATCCCAACAACTGCTATCAGCGTATAGCCGCTATCAGGGATGCTACTATTTTCATTGAAATCACCATCAATATCCTTGTATGCCAGGCAGAGAGTCCTCAAAGCTTCAGAGGCAAAACTGTTTATGACATTTGTGGCATCCCTAGTCTGTTCTTCTGACATATGAACCGGTTCTCCACTGCTGTTGACAATCTTGTCACACATTTTTAAGATTATCTCTGATGCACCTTTGCAAAATGCTCGGAGGCCACCATCGGGGAGAGCCACAAGGACAGACATTGTTTTCTTCACAGAATTGAAAGGCTCAATCTTTAACATCTTATAATCCCGGCGTTGAGCATCAAAATCACCATCTAGAAGCAACCCATATTCTAACAATGCAGATTCAGTTGGCGTGCCCAAAATTGAATTCTTTCCATCTTTACCCTTCACCACCTCAGAGCCTGTATTTTGAAATATACCCTGCAAAAGGGTGGTTATAACATTTTCTGATATATCCGAACTCAATATATCTCTTCCTCCACTACCCTTTATTTCTTTGGCTTCTCCACATATCCATATCTTATCAACTACCATACGGTTTGTCGTTAACGTTCCTGTCTTGTCCGTGCAAATGCAAGTAGCAGAACCCATTGTTTCACATGCTGCAAGATGCCTCACAAGTGCCCTGTTGTTCATTAACTTCTTCATTGCAAAGGCAAGACTCAATGTCACTGCCAGTGGTAGTCCTTCAGGAACTGCGACAACAATTATAGTTACTGCAATGGCGAAATAATCCAAAAGCGCTAATGCATCACTGGAAGACCAGTGTGTGAACTCATTGTGAAGTGCTTTCTCCACGAGAAACCTTACTATCAACACCACAAATGTCAACACAGCAAAACCCAAACCAATCTTACCAATGATTGTGGCAACACCATTCAGCTTCACCTGAAGTGGGGTCTCATCTTCTCCCCCCTCACTCAGAGTTTCCATTAACTTACCCCATTCTGTTCTCATACCGACAGTAGTCACTAGCATTTTACCTGACCCATCTTGCACTTTTGTTCCTGCAAGAAGAAAAGGTTTTTCTTTGTGTATATTTACTGGCTCGCTCTCTCCAGACAAACTTGACTCATCGATCAACAAGCTATATCCTGATATGAAAATCCCATCAGCTGGAACTTGGTCCCCGATGGATAGATGAACGACATCTCCAACAACCAAGTCGAATATGGAGACTTTCTGTCTATACCCATCTCTAGTGACCTGAACTATAATCTTTTTCTTTTCTTTATCCAAATCTTTAAATTGCAAGGATTGCTTGTAGTCACTGACTGCAGTGACCATAACTACCAAAAAAATACTGAGAATGATTCCCAGCCCATCATACATGCCCTTTGGCCACCCTTCAGTAGCGAGTCCTACAACTATAGACACGACAGCACAGACCATAAGGATTATGAGGGTAATGTCCTGCAGTGCCTCCCATACAAACATCCAGAAGCCTCTAGAAGGCTGGTCAGTATATCTGTTGAAGCCGTAGATCTTTTCCCTGATAGGTATGTCACTTAATTTGACACCTTCATCCAATGAGACATTCACTTTTTTTGCAACTCCCTCAACTCCTTTAAAGAGTTCCAACCCCTTGGTGTCATGACTACGAACAACAGATGCGAGTTGATTTGGGTGAATTCTAAACCCTGCCTCTCTAGCTTCTTTTGAGAGCTCATCACCTTGACCAACACCTGTAACATCAGAAAAAAATTAAGAAGCAGAGGAAGAAATGAGTACTTAGCATCTGAGCAGACTAAATACACTTCCAATGGAGCTAGTAGTTTGAAAAGATGTACCATCAAGAAACCTGATTGCTGCTTGTTGAACGTAAATAAGAGTTTTTAGGTGTTCCTGGTAAAGACAGGCAGTGAGACATAATCAGGATTATGTTGGAACATTTTCATAATATATTTAAATATATAATATAGTTATATGAATTATTAGATGTGACTTTTGGGTTTAAACCAAATGATGTAACCATTGAGTATAAACAAAAAGGCATGACTCTTGGATTTAAAGGGTATCACTTTTGAATCTAAAGGACACGACCTTTAGTCTAAGGGACACAAACCCATGCCTATATAAAGGTGGAATGGATTGGCAATTGGACAAGAAGAAATCCATATGAAATCCATAGAATTTATCTCAATGATTCATATTGATATTTTCCTCTTTACTTGGTGAATTAGAAAAATCCAAAGATATTCGGGATCTGATTTGGTTCGTGCATAACGTAGTTAGACATCAGTCTTTAGCCTGGGTTTCATTGTATCCTGGAGACGGATTCGCGGGTAACCCGGAGCACACCATATTCGACAGAATTGGTGGGGGGTGAATATCGTCTTAAGAAAAGCGACATTATAACACGCCTTGAAACAATGCGAATTATTTTCTATTTTATCTCTTTCCATCTCATTAACCAAATTTGCACCAACAGATTATGATAAGGGTATGAATTAAAAACAATAAAACTTGCTGCTTTAGGGATTGAGAACTTTTTATAACCTTTGTTCAGATATCATTGTGAACAGCAAGAAACTCACAACAAACTAAGAACTTTTTATAGGCTTTGTTCAGATATAATTGTGAACAGCAAGAAACTCACAACAAACACAGTTAACCTACCATTTCTTACAAAGACGGATATTAAGTGTCTTTTTAAAGTTAATTTCAGTTTGTTTTATGTTGCAAGAAATTTTGTTCCTCTTTTATTTTTATTTTTACATGGAAGTAGAAGTTTGCATGAGTTGCAAATTACAAAGTTTTAGCTTGGACTATGAAGGCCCTCAGATGCACAGCATGACTAGTTTCCTCCACCCACCTGAGTTCAAGTGGTTGTACCTGTAGGATTTTAGAGGGAGGTTGGGAGTACAAGTTTATGGAGAAACATTGAACACCCCATTTTGCTAACCTAACTTACTAACACACTAACATCCTACCAAGTGCAAGAAAAAAGAAAGGAGAAAATGAAACAGTTTATCCCAACATAAATATTCATCAGTGATGCTAGAGACCTCTAATTTAGAGGCTCTAAACACTCCTCTAATGAGGTGGAAAAGGAAAAAAAAAAAAAACAGACACAGCACTGGCAGTGGCAGTGGGTATCACTAGTGGCACCTCTAATTAGAGGTCCCAAGCATTTTTGAAATATTCATTAGAAGTCTTAAGGCTTCCTACCTCTCCACTTACAACCAAACTACAGAAATTTTCTTAAGCTTAATTTTCTCTGGCGGTTCTCTATATGCTCTTCTATTGTTTTCTTTTAATAAAGAAACAAATGGCATGTTATGAAGATCCTGATCTCCCGGAAATAGAAGTGGCCGCATTCCATGATCACATGATAATATGAAATTGATTGACATGCTGTTAGTCCATAATTTTTTTAGAATCAATGATACATCTTATGAAATAGAATCAATGATAAATAAAGTTTTTAGGGGTTTGATTTAAACACAATTTGGCCTTAAAATGTGTTTGGTTTTTTAGCCACATTAGTACAAAGAATAGGACCAGGACCTTCCATCTTTGAATATCACTTGGAACAAAAAAAAATGTTAATATGAATCAGCTAAAACTAATTTATTCAGCCTCCGTTTGGGAAGTGGGATGGCTTTTTGACTTTTTGGCTTTTTTGGCTATTTTAGCCTAGGCTAAAAAGCTTGGTTTGGAAATGACTTTTTGGCTTTTTGGCTTTTTTGACTTTTTTTGTGAGAGAAGAGTGTAATGATTATGGGTTGGATGTGATGTTTTGTTTGTTATGTTATGACTAAAATAACCTATTTTATTTTTTGTGGCTAAAATAGCCAAAAAAGCCCAACCAACTTCTTCCCAAACGGTATCATTTAAACAAAACATTGCACTTTTTTTATGACAGGTGAGTAATGTTATACAATCATAACATTTAGGGTAAATTATACAACCGGTCCCTATAGTTTGAGACTTTTGTCATTTTAGTCCCTGACTTTTCAATTGTGACACATTTGATCCTGAATTTTGAATTTTGTTCCAAATAATGACAATTGAATATACCATTGCTTAATTTAATGGGCAAAATCATCAATTTCATAAAATATAAACTAATTTGACAAAAATAATGTCAAAAAAATATTTTTGAATTTTTAAAAATTATTTCTGCACACTAAAGATAAAATTATGTAAAATTGATATATTTTTTAGACATTTATTTATTTTACAAAATTAATTTTTATTATGTGTTTGGATGATGATCATGTAATGGGTGGTTGTTTTTATTTTCATTAAATTAGTTTCTATTTTTTCAAAAGTCAAATATGGCTACAACTTTGATATTATTATTAAACCAATTTATTAAATAAAAAATCCAAAACTAAAAATATTTCATATAATAAATATATTGATTACACATCAAAATTTTAACAACCACCCATTACATAATCATCATCCAAACACATAATAAAAATTAATTTGGTAAAAAAATAAAAAAGTAAATGTTTAAAAGATTTATCAATTTTACATAATTTTATCTTTCGTGAGTAGAAATAAATTTTTTAAATTTAAAAATATTTTTTTGACATTTATTTTTATCAAATTAGTTTATATTTTATCAAATTGACGATTTTGCCCTTGAAATTAAGCAATAATATTTTCAATTGTCCTTATTTGGAACAATATTCAAAATTCAAGGTCAAATGTGTCACAATTGAAAAGTCAGGGACCAAAGTGATACGAGTCTCAAACTACAAGGACTATTAGTGTAATTCACTCTAACATTTATATAGAATTTTCGTAGAGAATGGTGTGACTTCTCGTGATCTCTTCATTTTCAATATAAACACCCATTATTGTCATCATAATTTCAAAAATGTCATTAACACATTGTAAAACCCGAGTTATGTGTAGAATTATTTTTTTAGATAGATTAGTTATTAAACTAATTTGTATGGGTCATTTAGTAATATCAAGGAATTAGTTATGAAATGGCTTTATAATTTCTATAACTTAGATGGATAATTTTATAATTTTGAAAAAACTAGGTTATTAAGCCAACATCTTGGCTTTTAAGTCTTGGGAAAACAGATGCCTCCTGAAAAGCTACCACAGGGTTAGAAAAAGAAAAGAAAAAAAAAAAAGGAAAACAAAGAGGGAACATTTATAGAGTCGTGATTTTAATCTATTCATCTCTTAGAAGTAAGATTTATTTTATTGTATTTCTATTTATGAATTTAGTTTCAAAATATCAATAAATGATTTGTGTAGGCATATATGATCAAATAAATATATTGATGTAGTCTATGCTGGGGGTCGCCGAACTTTAGAGTGTATTTTGCATTCTGTTTGGGTGGTTTGTATTTTGGGATTGACATGTGATGGGTTAAGTTTAGTGGTGGTGTGTTTGTAGGATATAAGATTGACTGGAAGTAGTTACAAATTTATACATGAATATAAACAACAATAGAATAATATAAGTTGAGAATTTCCGAAACCGTAATGGCTTTGTTTTGATGCTGAAGTGTGGGTGTTCCTGATAAACTACAGGATTAATTTACGTTATTGTTGTTACAAAGAAAAGAATGATGGGTGCAAATAATAATTGTTTATGTGATGTAATATTTTATTAGGTTTGTGACATTGCTGTGGATCTTGGTAATTTGAGATTAGCTTGGGAAATATTATTTTAGCTGTTTGAGGTAAGTAACTCTTTATCACTGTTGGTTCATTTTTATTTATATTGAATCGTTTGAAATTATAAATATTTATTTATAGCCTTCCTGTTCTTTTAAAATAAAATATGAGCCAAGTATAAAACGGCATCAGGTATTATTATGAAAATTATTTGGATATTTTGTAAAACTATTCTGAAAATTATACTAAATGTTTATTATGAAAATATCAAATATTTTATTTAAAAGTTGTGTATTGTTTGAATTCTGAACATCACTCTAATCTGGCTATAATTTGAACCATAGCCAATTAGAGTTATTTATTGGCACAAAAACTAGTTTTTTTGGGACTTTACCACCATGGGCCTATGTGTGGGTCCGGGCCTTGTCATAGGTTAAGTGACCGTAGTCACCAAGACTTAAGTTTAGTGAATCGAATCATTGAATTGTTTGAATATCGAACTATCGATTTGAACAACGAAATTTCTTCGAATTATCTCATCGTCTTTTCAATTAAAATGTATTGCTACACTGTTTATTTTCAACTATGAAATCATTTTAAAAAATAATTGTTCATTTATTGAATTGTAGCAAAAATATATGTATTGGTTATCGATTAATATTTTTTTGTATACTTGATCCAGCTAGCAGTGATGGTTGGTTATTTGATAGGCTGTCTAATTGACTCTTATTTTATTTTTTTACAGATTCTGAGGAGTAGAACTGTGCGAGTTTTTACTTGTGAGAGTGCCAAAAGTAGGATTATGATTTAGGTTACTTTGATTAATATTTTGTTAGTGGATTATATTAGCGAACTTGATGAACAATTTTATATGATAAGAATCTTTTATTATTTATGAATTTTGACATTATGATAATTAGATATTTAATTTGAGTATTTTATATTGGGGCAAATTTCACTTTATCCTCCTATGGTTTAGGCCATGTACGGATTACCCCTGACTTTCGAATATCACCACATAACCCCTTGTGGTTGATAAAGTAAAGTGCACAGTTAACATCGTTAATGACAGACGTAAAAAGACTAATTTGTCCTTGTATATATATATATATATATATCTGACCTGCAGATCTAAGAAGCTTTTTCTCTTCTTACTCTCTCTCTCTAGTCTACCTTACCTGCAAATCTAAAATGTTGAATTGTATTGGGCTGATGATAATGACCACCCTCTCCTTCGTTGATGCTTTTGG